TCTCGTCACGCCCACCATTAAACCCAACAGACCTACAGCCGATTTCGGAATATTTTTAGATGTTCGTGGATATGATATCTTGACCGCGTTTCCGGTAACGCAATTCAACAGCGAGACGAATGGCAAGATCAACGTCTCTAACTTGGGACTCATCGGGAAAATGACGGGAGCAGCGGCTATCACCTCATATCAATTTGAATTACATAATACCCATCAAGCGTTCCTAAATACAAGACTTAAGGCATTGGGAGTTCTTGGTAAGTTCGTTCGTTGGATGACATGAGGAATCTGATTCTAACTTGTTAAATTTTAAAGGGGTATATATCTCGAGTCTTCCAGACATGTCGATCGAGCGGGACTTCATGGTCACCATCCAGGGAGAACCTATTCCCCCTCACACGGTTACGATCAATGCGAATAGCGGCCACGTATTAAACATCGACGTCGAAACGGCGTGGAGGGAAATGGGTCTCGAAGCTGGCTGGGCCAACGAGGTCGAGGTCAAGGTTTACTTGGACATCGAGTACCCTTAGTTATGAATGAGGAACGGACATGAGACACATATCATCGGGAAATGGGAAATGGGAAACGGGACTTGGTTTGGATGGCATAACGACTTTTACGAAACTGATGACTGGAAAATTGGGATATGGTTTATGACAAATTGCCAGATTGAATTTAGCACAATGAGCTAGCTACAGAACATGTCGTGCCGTGCCTACAACCCAACACTGTCATGCCTCATTCGCCCTTATCAGACTATCTAGCACATGCTACTAACGCATGAGAAACAGCTAATCATCAACAGCGCAATATACCTTCAATTCGAAATTCAAGCTTTGCCGAGCTTCTTAGCCTCAAATGTCACGGCCGCGGGAAGTGTGTCCGGTAAACTCGGGCTCTTAGGTGTCCATCCGAGATACTTCCTCGCCCTAGCAGCCACGCTCTTCGAGTTGGTCCCGAAATTCGGGAAATCGATCTCCTTGGCAATAGGCTCAGGAATAAGTTTCTGCCTCGCGGCCTCGACGGCAATGGCCCTAGACACATCGGCCCACCGATGCACGCCGTTCTCGAGGAAGAAATACGCCTTAGGTCCGAAAATCTCCGGGTTGCTGTTCTTGGAGGGGTCGAGCGCCGCGTCGACGGCGAGCACGAAGAAATCGCCTAGGTCGTGGATATGCACGTTGTCCCACTCGGTTAGACCCGGCGCTTGGATTGGCGCGTACCCGTGCTGCAGCGTGTACTCTATCAGGCCCGGGACCTGGATGCTGCGCGTGTTCAGGGGACCCCTGCCCTGTCCGTAGATGGTGGGCGGGCCAACGATCAGCGTCTTCACGGAGGCGGAGTTGGCGCCGAGCACGATCTTGTCGACGTTGCGGTGGATCGCGGTGTCGGGCAACGACACGATGCGCTCGATGTCATCGATGTCGTGGTATTTCTGCTCTGGGAGAGGAGCCTGGCCGTAGCGCTTGTTGTCGGCATCGTACCAGGTCAGGATGCCGGTTCCGCAGAGATGGATCCAGTACCCCGGCTTCTCGGCCGTGTGCCCCGCCGCGAGACCCTTGGCGATTGCGGTCGCGGACGGGACGTTGTCGGCTGAATCGGCCGTGTCTAAATGATGTTAATTACTGACCTCAACGTTCCGCAAAAAAAAAAATATAAAAAAAAATAGGTAAGTACATACGAACTACGATGTCCGCCGCAGCGGCTTCCTTCTCAATGACATCAACGTCATCTAAGCTGCCGTAGACAAGCCGTGCGTTGGGGTAAGCGGCGGCAACTGGCTTGCCCCGCTCCTCATTTCGTACGAGCAGGGTTAACTCGTAGTCTGGATGAGCTTTGACTAGAGAGTAGAGGGCATCGCCGCCGATGTAGCCTGCAGTTATTTAACATTTAGTATCTTAATTAATGAGATGAGAGACTGGCTGTTATTTAGGTACGTACCAGTAGCACCAGTGCTGTTATGACGAGTTAGTTTTTATATTATTTTTATTATAGATATTTGTGAGTTCTTGGCACTTACAGGAAGATCTTGGGGGCCATTCTCCTAAGTTTCGAATGTAAGTCAATCAATAATCAGGGGTATGCACGATAGTTTTTTGGCGTCACTTTCGAGTTGAAGACTGAAGATGTACGATAATTCTTTCGCTTCATTCAATGAAGTGGTTATATTTAAGCTTTACGGGTAAATATTATTTATCTAGAAGATACTACCTTCCACTATTATTACGTAGTTGTGCTGAGGAGTAATTATGGCCTGGTTACGCCATCCGGGTCATGAATTCCGTCCCGTCATTGTAACTTCCCACTTTCCCCATTCTCCCCCACTCTTGCCCGTTACACAGCTGAAATGCCATTGCAAGCGCCATGCAGATGCTGTGCTCAGTGGCGTGCATGTTCCCCAGTTATTTTGATTTCTGCTGACTGTATTATGTAAACAGGGAATATTTTGATCCGTATTAATTGTGCCGCCTCCTTTTGCAACTTACAAACTTCGTTCTTCTATGCCTCGTATGTCCTAAGGCGTCAGCAACCATTGAGTAAGCATCCCGGAACTGAAAACAATTAAGGACAGTATTTTTATTGTTTAAACGATGATTGTTTAGCCGGTGAACTATTTCCTCCGGTGCTTTACAATCTTCCCTCTTGATGACCCCGAATGACAAACCCGATGCGATTCTTCATCCGAGAAGAATACAGTAATACGATGACAACTCCTAACTTCTAACCAGACAACTCCTTAGTAGCATCCCTAATACTATCTTCGAAGCTAGTCCATCCGTGCCCAGTTAATCTCTTCAGAAGCTCCTCAGCTCTTTCACTAGCCACCGTGCTCTTCTCTACTGCCGCATTGGGTTCCTCCTCGCCGAATTTGCGGTCCGGGTAAATTTTCTTCAGAGTCTTCAAGAGGTAGTTCGCGTTAAAAGGGTGAGAAAAGGCGAATAAGCGCTCACCCTGCACATCGGGATAGATTAGCGCGGCAACGTGCAGTGCGGCGTTATCGCGGACGTCAACATAATACTGCGGCGATAATCCGAATAAGTCCCCCTGCTTCAATTGCTCCCCTTTCTCAAATGCCGTCTTGAACCAAGCGGTTGTGCTCCGATAGCCCTGGTGGACGACATCGAGCAGAGGCCCTAGATTAGCGTTGGGCACCATTGCGTTGAAAACAAAAGACGGCTTATGTTCTCCCACCCATTTCCATGCCTCCTTCTCCTGTCTCATCTTACTTGCATGGTAAACGCTCTCGATACGCGCCATGCCTTCGTAAGGTGGTGGGGCGTATGCTGCCTCGATAGCAGCCTCATTCCATGTGTTTGAGTCAATTGCGAAGACCTGGATACCGTCAAGGGTCGCACATGCCCCGCAAGAGGACGTCAGAACGACTCTTTTCAATCCGGGCTCTTTCGCAGCTGCCTCTAAGATGCGTGTCGTGATATCCACGACAGGAGGTATCACAACGTTGGGATCAGGACTTATCATCACCGGCGTCGCGACGTGCGCCAAGCCAGATACCCCTCTGACGACCTCGTCGAAGGCGCCACTCGCTAGCATGTCTGGTACTTCAACCAACTCGAACTTCCCAGGGCCGTATTTCTTTTCGAAGTGCTCTTTCAACCATTGGTCCCTGGCCATGCTGCGGACAGTGCCGCGAACGCGGTAGCCATGTTGCAGTATCTGGTCCGCGATATGACTGCCGATAAATCCGTTCACCCCCGTGACAAGTACGAGGGATCCCGGCTGAATGGCAAAGTCGGACATGCTAAAGTTGGTGAGTAAGTTATAATGCCAACTTTTGTTCTCGCCCTGGGAAAGCCTAGTCGTAGGTAAGCTTATAAAGTGTAGAAATGAACTGATAACCCCAACTTATAGGAGTCGCCCGGCATCGGGAAATGGTTCTAGATTAATGATTTGGATTGTATCCGAGGTCATCCTACGCTAAGTCATTTGTCCGCCACCAATGTAACCCAGCGGTAGCACTACTACGATAAAGGAATGGCCGGTTTGGCCGGTGAACCCTTGCATTGACGTTGTGTCTCGCTTCCGGGACCTACCGTCGGATAGCGCCCCCTTTACTAACCCCACAAATTCAACCGCCTTCTTCACCGTGTCATTATATCAGAACTGTTTAACAAGTAGCCCGGAATAGCTGCAAAAAAGGGATATAATTGCACGAGTATTGGCCAGCTCCGTAACTAGTTGGTTATGGCTTAGTGGTTTGTCGCATATTATAAATCAAGCATTACTTGATCTTCAGGAGTAAACATGATGCCGAAATTAATTAACACGATTCCAATCACCGAAACGAATCTCAGATATAGCCACCTCTATGAGAACGAATGATTTACAAGTGATAAATGACGTTGAAGCTTCTATGGTCTTAAGGGAAAAACCAAATCCGAAATCCGAAATAGAAATACAGTATCATAATAATTTATACCTATGAGACCGAATCACAGAAACATGATGATTGGAGCTAGGATATTAATGATTGATAATAACGGCATATGGCATATGTTCAAAGGGGCATTTAGTTTGCTAACCTCATGTATAATCGCAACACTAGGTACCCACAAGTTCTATTCGGTTCTATATCATCCATAAAATTAGAACTCCTATTTCCCAACCCCCCTTTCACGATAATTGTACATTAGAAACATAAGAAACTCTCTCATGAGGCTGGGAATACTAGAAAATATTTGTTTCTTACTCGTGCTTCATATTTTGTGGCTGTATGTTGAATAGGGGTATCCGTACATAGCGTGTATGAATGAACCTCATAGTCCGTCCTTGTATTAGTATCTTCTAAATTGCGCCCTTTTCTAATCTTCAAGAGTCGTAAATACTAGTAACCTCTAAATGATCCTTGAGCATAGCTAGAAGTCTTGGAAGGTGCTTAGTAGATTCGTAACCAGGAAAGTCGAGCTCAGACCTGATGGTGGGCCATCGCACTTTCACTAATAACCCTAAACATGCAACAAACTATCAACAATTGCAACTGCCCATTGGCCCAGTGGTCAAGGCGTCTGACTGTTAATGTCTAAAAAGATATATCAGAAAAATCAGAAGATCCCTGGTTCGACCCCAGGATGGGCAGGTTTACTTTTTGGCTTTTTTCACATTTTGGATTCTCTTTCAATTTGAAATTTCCCAAGGACAATTGATCGAGGATAATAAGTTTGTGCAGTGGGCCTTCGAAATTTTTACTAATAGCATTAGTCAGTGATCGAGGTCAACCAAGGGAGCTAAGAATCAACTAAGCTTAATCTTTAGTATCTCTAGTTGTTTATACTAATTTCAGTCTCTTGTTTAATATTTGAATCCTCCTAATCATGATTGGGTGTGTGACGTTTCTTTCAGCTTCACTTTCCATATCTAGTGCTGCGACTTACAAGTTGTCCTTTCCAGCTCGAGGTCTTGGTTTGTCCCGTCGAGTCACTTAAATATTCCAAGTCCAAATAATGAAAAAGTCCAGATTTATGGAAGATGTGCTAATATGAAAAAACTTTTAATTTAAGATAATAGAAATTGGAGTTTTATTCTGTTGTGATGCATCCGTTCACACCTCCTTTTTCGTAACATTGAACCTCGTTCTCGGTATCGCATTCGCTTACACAGCCAATCCCTCCCCTTTTCACATATTATTAAAGCTTTATTTACCAATGACAGACAGCTATTCACAATAACATAAAAGACACATTTATTTAATTTTTAAAAGTTATATTGTAACAAGCAAACGATCGAGAGACTAGTGGTTACAAGATCCACCCCAAACCAAGACAATCATGACGATAGCGACAGACAGACCGACAACTCCCCATTTCAGAAACCCTCAGAAGCTAAACGAATGTGCCAATGTGCCGCCCAACCAAGGTACCCGATGCCTGTACCTTACCAAAGCCCCTTATAATTCATTGTCCACACATCCCAACATGATCTTACAGAGAAGTAGATAGGTAGGTAGATAGGTATCTACTCAGACCAATCCAAAACATCCGAATAAGGCGAAGCGCGCGCCGAAACACCATTAACGATCAACTGCTTCGAATCCGTGTTAAAGCAGTTATCGGTGACCGTCTTGCTGCAGACGGGGAATTGCTTCTTGTCGGACATGCGGCAGAAGGTGCCGGCAGCCGTGTTGACGAAATCGGGGCCGTAAGAGGTGTCGCTTGAGCACAGGCCGTCCGCGGTGTGCTGCTTGCTGTTGCTGATCACGAGGCGGTTCTCATGCGGGTTCGTCGCCGTTGTGTTGCTGCTTTGGCGGGGGTAGTGCGTGCCGCGACGGAACTTGGCGGACTCGGCGTGCTTAGCGGGCCCGTAGGAAGTAAAGGGCTCAGAGCGGGGGTTGGTGATTGGCCAGGCGGTGATGCTGCGTGGGTCGGGGTCCGTGGCGTAGTTGTAGTACTTGAAGGCGGGTTGTTGGCTGCAGAAGTAGTTGATCTTGTCGGTCTGCTCCTTCGGGTCTGAGGGCAGGTTGTCCCCGTTCTTGACATAGAATTCGGGCCAGTGAAGCTGGAAACCTGTCTGTGGTTGGTCGTTGTTGCTGTCGATCCACATGCAGTCGGGGGTTACGCCCGTGCTGCCGATGTACACGTGCGAGTAGTACCATGAGGCGCCGCACTGACGACCCCAGTCTCCGACCCAGGAGTACTTGTCTTGACTGGGTAGAGTGATGGTGGCGTAGGCGATGCAGATCGCGTTCTTGTTGGCTGAGAAGAGGGTATAAGTGGGTTGCTGAGTGCTGTCGCCTTCGTGGCTAACGGTGACATCGGCGAAACCGCCGTCCTGGATCCCGCCGGGGTCCTTGGAGAGACCGAGGTACTCCCCGGCTTCGTTGTAGAGGCGGACGTCGGGAAGATCACCACCGGCATTGTCAAGGCCACCGTTGGTGTCTAAGCCGACTGTGATTCGGACGACGGAGTCGACTGATTTAGGCTCGGGGAAGTTATCGATGCCGAATTGGATGATTCCGAGAGCACCGGAGATCAAACCGATCGCTTCAATGACTGCTGCTCCTGACATCTTTGCTATCGTGTAAACGAATGGTGATGTTCGACTGTTTCTGAACGAAAAGAGTGAACTTTTGAATGAATGTAAATTGCCTAAGCAGTAAAGAGTGTAGATAGGAAGATATCTAGAAGCGTGAGGTAGATTGTACTAGTCTCGATGTCGCTGAAGACTGAAAAAAATCTCGACATTGGACGGACATCGTGAGGATATTTATAATTCAAGATCGATCTCCAAATCTATCGTATAGTCAAATAGCCTTTCCGGCTTCCAAATCATCGTCGCACTATGTCGTATCATTTTCGCGAGTATAGTTGAACTTTTTTCTGTGGCTTAGACTTCAGCGAGATGAAGTTGTAATGCCAAGTCAAAGTCAAAGCAGTCCAATTGTCGATCTCGAGACGTCATCAGCATTAGCCTTATTAATCAGGTCTTGGTACCTTGGAAGAGCGTTTATGCGTCCCTGAGGCTCTGGGAGAAGGATCGTTAGTGTGACATTTTGCTAACCCCTTTTGGCCGCCCAAGTACCCCTGAACCCGTGTTGGGGATGGTCAGTTCAACACGTGGTTTTGAGTAGTATATTATAGCGTATTATAGGATATTGGCGTGAATTATAGTGAATTATAGTGTATGTAGGATTTATGAAAACCCGAAGCTGTCTAATGAAAGTTAGTGAAGGCCAAGAGAACGAAGGATTTGGAGGAAGCATGCGCGAATATGCAAGTTGGTATAAAACTTCGTTTTTGGCTTGGCTCTCCTTTATGCAACTCATGTTTAACCTCATGTTTGGCTTGGCAGATCCTTGGCGGAAGTCTCGTTCGAGAAGAAATCGACCTCTGTTCTATGTTTCAGCCTTATAGCCATGTCCTGGCCTTTCAACCCTAAAGGGGCTCCTGCTGAGCTTCAGCTTCTGGGTACCCCTGTTATATTCGGTATATTCCGTAGTATAGGCTCTTGGCATCCTTCCGCACGAGACCACACTGACCACAGCGAGTGCCGACCCGGTTATACATTACCATTTAACTCCCATTTAGGAAGGTGATCTGTTAGAAAGCTACCGAATCTGCAAATAGCCCTGCTGGACTTTTGCGTGACAGGCACTTGCATGATCTTCATGATCGCCTTACTGGCCAGGGTCCGTGCCAAGTTCCAGCTTTACCCCTGACTTCCCGAGTCGGGTCCCCTATAAACCAAGACTTCGTATTATTTTAGCTTCTTGTCATGGCTATATGCGGAGTGATGATCGTGGGGTTTATGCCAACATATCTCATCTGCCGTCGCCCATGCGCTCAGCCGGAAACTTCGGAGCTCCAAGAGATATCTTAGTTCGCAAAGAAATGAATCTATCATTCAGTCAATCTGCAAGTCAGCTAGCCAAGAAAACGATAATTTTGCTCGTCAAAACCGACAGAATGTCCAAAATACCAGCTTTCATCAACCTCTCACCGTTACCGGTTCCTCTCCCTCCGTTTCGTTTCCCATCATACCTACCCTCACCTTCACCATCACTATCAGCTTCATCTTCGCCTTCGCCGTCACCTTCATCTTCATATACACATCTCCGTACACCCTCGCTATCACCTTTCGAACTCCCACAGCCGCTATGCCCAAAAGCATCGCCTTCACCGTGTTGGTCCTCGCCGCCAGCACGGCGACCCTAGCCCAAGACCTCAACCAAACGATCGTGGGGTGCGCCGAGCTAGGGTGTCCAGCCAGCAGCCAAGATACCGCGAACGACAACTGCACGATCGCGGACACGGGGTCATTCCCGTACGTCGGGCTAACGCGTGTATCATCCAACTCATCCTCACTTTCCGGTCTATCCTGGGTCAAAGGCGTCAACATCACCGACTCCGCCTCTTCCGCCAATTCCAACACCTCGCGCACCTTCCACAGCTCATTCTACCTAGGCGCGCCAGCGACCCAGTCATTAAACGCGTCGGGAGGCGCGTGCGCGGTATTCTTACGCGGGGCGGAGTCGTGGGACATGTCGTTTGGCGGCGAAAACGCGACAGATGAAACGGCGCAGGGAACGTGCGCGGACGCCATGGGCGCTTCTTGTGTGGACGCGCTAGTAGCGCGCGCGAAGACGACGATCGCGGGTTACTATAGCGGGAGTGGCGATGCGCCGTCGAATGCGGATGCGTGCGAGAGGTTGCGGCAGGATTTGGTGAATAGCACGTTGGACGCGTGTGTTTCGGTTTCTCGGGGGTCTTGGGCGAATTTTACTTCTGTTGGTGAGTTGGTTATCCTGACCTTGGAGAGTTTCGCGCTTGAAAAAGAAGAGGCGTTTTTGGCGTTTTCGTTTCAGTTAGGTTAAGTGGCTGACTTTGTGGTACGATTAGCTTTGGCCGGAGATGATGCGCCGGAACCTATTTCGCAACAGGAGAACTCGTCGTCGACCTGCTGGCCAATTACCCCCAAGGAAGACAGCCTCACTCTTGTTGCTGAGTTCACCGAAGCGGTACGTATCACTTCCACCTTATGAGAGTTAATTGGGCTAATTAGCAGTTGAATAGGGGAGTGACCTGGTCGCAGATGCGGAAGAAGCGTTTTGGGCTATTACACCTATTCTCACGATATCTTTCCCAACGGAGAATGGAACTGTAGCGGACGCTATAAATGCCTCTCTATCTTGTGTAAAGGCCATAGGGCCTGCAAGAGCATCTCTCGATACCATAAATAACGGAACCGACGACCAAGACAATGGAGCCATTTCTTTATCATCGTCATACCCTGTCGCGACAGGTGTCTCGTGCGTGGTAGCTGCGATCCTTTTTGCTTTATATGCGGCGTGATAGTTTCCATGGCGTTAGAGTTATGAGCTACGAGATTTTGATGCTGTTAAAATATACCATCCACATTTTCGCATCGAACGAAGGTGGCCAATCCGCCAGGCAGCCAATCCGAACAGTCTGCGAAGTGAAGTTTATATAGCAAAGTAAAGTGAAGAATTTTATCAGCGGCTTAGATCGACGGCCTTGCTGGCAATGGTCTAGTTGGTTATGCCTCAGACACCACGTCGAACCCCCATAAAAGATCCCCCTGAAATGGGGTGATCCAGGGTTCGATTCTCAGAGATTGCAATAT